TGCCACGGAGCCTGACCGTCATCCTGTAGCTCTGGCCGTGGATCCCAGGGCAGCCTGCGGGAGGGAAATCATTGAGGAACTGCTCAACAACAGCCACTTCCCCTCTAGGCAAACCTAGTTCCCTGTCCGTGGGGTGTGAGGTCAAATGCAAAGGGAGGACCAAGTCTGGATGGCTTGAAGGTTTTATTGGAGTGTTTGCTAGGACTGTGCATGGAGGGTGCTTAGCGGTCAGCCACCCGGGATTTAAAGATGGGTGCTGCCCTTCTGAAAAGCCTTCCAGCTGCTTTCTCAGGGACGTTAGCCCTTCCCACCTTTCGCGGCTGGCTCCCTAAAAACACTGACTGCTAAGCCCCCTTTTTCCCCCTTCCCTTTTTCTTCCCGGGGCACATGATGCTGCAGCCACCCCTCTGGCTGCCCTATGCTGGCTGAGGCAATGCCACCTCTACCTCCACAGTTACTGAGCAATCCTCAAAGTCAGCCATTTTCATAGAGTCATAGGATGCTTTGAGTTGGAAGGGATCTTAATGATCACCTAGTTCCAAACCCCCTGCCGTGGGCAGGGACGCCTTCCACTAAATCAGGAACTGGTTGGCTTTTTTGTTTTCCCTTTAACTATTTAGCCCAATTTCTTGGATTCAGTGGAAGGGGTGTACTTGCCCCTCTCGGTGAAGGTGATGCACAACCCTGTGTCCATACTCACAGAGTCCCAGAGCGAGCAAAAGGAGCAGTGCAGGAGACCTGGCCATCTTCTCTTGGGGTGGCTGTCCTTGGGGGTGGTGCAGCAGAGCGGAGATGAACTTTCTTACTTGGCTTAGGAGGCTGTGTCGCTCTTTGGAGAGGATGTGATGTCATCAGGACCCTCTTGGTTGAAGGGACGACATTCAGCATCTGCAGCAAAATGAAGGGGGAAAAAAATATTTCTGAAGAAATCCAGTTCTAATCCAGGATTTGGGCTCATTTATTGTTATCGGCTCTTCACGGCGCCTCAGGGATTTTGCCCTGATGGCTTCCCGAGAGATCCCCACTGATGATGCTCGTGCCTGAGGGCAGCTCGGCCACGGCAGCCTGCTGCCTCCCAGCCGTCGGGGCTCACGGCAGCCCCAGCTCTGCAGAGGTCATGGACAAGCCCCGTGCCTTGGCTGCAGGCCTCAGGCTGCGTTTCTCGGCAGGGATCTGCTGCCTTCCCTTGGGCGCACTCGAGGGGTCTGGTGTGGATGGCAGAGCAGGCTGTATTTTATCACCCAGCGAGCAAGACGTGGGGGTTTCGAGGCATGTATCCATACCTGCTGTTTATCTCCAAGCACTTGCCTTGCTGACACAAAGCCAAGTTCTTCAGGTGCTCAGTTGTTCTCTCTGCAATTCTTTGAGATGGCTCTGCAAAAGCCGCTTTGTGCAAGGCAGGTGGTCTGTGATCTGGAACCCACCACAAAAGCCTCATGCCCCAAGGGGATGCATTCTTTTTATTTTTTTTAAGCATATTGTGGTTTTCTTCTCTAACCACGGGGGTTTCCGCCCTGCCAAAAAAACCCTTGCATGCTTCAATGGAGACTGGCACTTCCTGGAGCTTTGCACATACAACAGCAACAGTTTTACCAGACTGTGAGGCAGAGGGCTGATGTGTTATTTATTTCTTGCTTGGCACCTCCTGGCTTTCCTGCTGGTTATTTTTCTGTGTGAGTTGTTTCTCTATTGCTCCTTTGGAAAGAAAGGCCCCTTTTCCTTGGGCATGTCAGAAACTGTGATGCCATTGCTATTGTGGCTGCTACTTGGAGCTGAGTTATGGAAAATGTTTTAGGAACTGGGTTTATTTCTTTGGGCGTCAAAGCATGGTGGTGAATGAGGAAAGTTTCCATTACATCTGTGAAATTCATACTTTCATGTGGTTGGGTTACTTGTGATGTCTGCCTGAAATAGAGCAGCTTTGGCAAAATAAAGAGAAAATAGGTTTCATCAGTTAAATAACCTTACAAGGATCTGGATCCCAAAATCCTGTCATCCAAATGCAAATGTCTGACTTTAGCTAAATGTGACTTCTTAGCACTCCAGCCATCTCTAGATGAGACATCAAGTCATGCTACTTGTGTAGGCTCCTTCTGGTTTCAGTGGGCAGTTTATTGGCCTTATCCTAAGTAGAATTTATTTATCATGGGATAAGCTGCTCTTGGGAAGCATCTGTCTTCATGGGCTGATGGAGGAACCTAAGCAAGGAAAGGAAGGTACAGGCCTTGTAGATGACTACAGTCGAGTCTCGTGGTTTCTGAGATGCTGAAGGGAGCTGGTTCCTGCCATCCATTGGAATCGTTCTGTGAGTGCCCCTCACTTCTATCACGATTACAACGTGGCTGCAGGAAATGAAATTTTAAAAGTGTTTTCAGAAGCAGAACCTGAGACTAAATTAGGAAACTTAGGAAATTTCCTGGTTCCTGTTTTTCAGTATGATTCAAATGGAAGTGAACATGCTGGCAAATGAAAATAAATGTAATGTTTGTCAAAACTAGGTTCTCACGCTGTTGTAGAGCGTGGATGATTAATTACAGCACATGGTGCATGTCCTCAGAGATGTGGTGATGGTTGTGCTGGGAGAACCTGTACAAGTGACAGATCAACCAGGAAGGGCTATTGCCTTTCTTAGGAGGGGAATCTTACTTCTCACTTGCATCTGATTAATGATAAATTTTATTATGAATCAGTCCAGGGTACCACGTGAGCCTGGACATTCCTCTCCTGGGTGTAGAGGTCCTTGAACTTGGTCCTTGGGGGTCATGGATTGAACTGACTTCCATGTAGAGCCACCATTTTCTCTGTCATATTCAGACTCTGCATCACAGTTCAGAGGTCTCCTTTGGCTTTCCCTGCTTTTACTCACTGAAGCACTTTGTGACTCATACCACCAGCCCCTGTCTCTTCTGATGGTTGCCCATTGTGCTGGGCAAGGTCGGCACTGGGGAGCCACAGGAGACAGTGCCAGGGGGAGCTTTTCCTTTCCTTGTCTCCAATGAATTGCTAATGAATATGTCCTTTTAAGGCCAAACAAAAGCTTATTGTCAGCAGAGAGGTGGGCTGTGAGGGACGAGCTGTCACACATCTCTTTTCAGCATGGACATACTTTGTTGGCCAGAGAGGGAACCAGGGAAGTGTAGCTCCAATGGAGATGTCTGTGTGTGATCAGCCGAAGCCACCTCTTTCCATTACCCTCATCTCATGTCTTCTAAATAATAAATTAGCTGGGGCAGGGATCATTTTTTTTTCTGGCTTCTGTGTTCGGGTATTGCTGAGCACAAAGCTGTTCCTGTTTCTCCCAGTAACAGGTAAGAACAACTTAACCAGTTGCAATGGTAATTATTTGATTACCAAAGGCTCCAGGCACAAGCAGGACCTCCAGGAAAAGCCCTAATTTAAAAGCAACACTTGTATAAATATATCAGTATAGGTAAGTTTTACTCTGAGGACCTACTCCAAAACTGGGAGGAGCAGGTGGTTATTCAGGTTAATGAAGGGATCTCTTTGACTTTAGCATGCTCTGCTTTGGCAGTTTATGCTCTGGATAATATTTTGCAATAGACTAGTCATTGTTAGGCTGAGGACCTAGGCCAAAGCAGTGAAACAGCAGCATGAATAACATGTTTTATTAGTAATTTCTGTTGTAGTGCCACAGTTATGATATGATAGCAGAAGAAATAAATTCAGACAACCAGTTACTTCTGCAGAACATTGTATAAGGACCGTCAGGAGACTGGTCAAGTTGGTTAGATGGTAGGAGGTAGTTTCTTTTTTCTCCCAAACCTACCAGTAAGTTCATTTTACTCATAACTAAGGTTGTAGGGCTCTGATTGCTGATTAAGTCCAAGCTAAGTTGCTTGTAACCTAAGTTTAATTTAAGTTGTTTGTAACCTAAGTTTGCCACATATACAAAGGCCAGCCTAGGTCTTTATTTAATTAGTGTCAAGCAATTAAACTGAAGGAGACAGGGGCAAGGAGAGAAGGAACAAAGTCATGGAGAGGAGAGAGTTACAAGGGTCTGTTTTTTTTCAGTGGGGCTTGGCAGGAGATGTGTTTGGGATTGATTTTCTCTGTGCTTGCTAACAACCCTTTAACAGAGAAGACATGGGGAATGAGAAGGAGCTTAGGGCATCAGAGCTGGAGGAGATGCTGAGGCTTGGATATGATCAATTTATTAATCATTTTGCGGAAGGATCTCAGTGACTTTTTTCATAGTGGTAAAAAAACTCTTCAGCTTCTTAGTATGAGTAACATCAGACATCACATGGATGTCTCACAGTATTGCATGCCTGGCAACAGGAGCACATCTCAGGACATGGGAGTTACACTGGATGGTTGCTAGACACCAAAGGAGAATCCAAATGACTCTGCTTTATCAGGTCTCTTGTTCTGTTGCCCAGGGTATCTCCTCGTAGTGCTTCAGAGGGACTTCCCATTGCTAAGCAATGATGCAATGTTTTTGATGATAAGCAGCTGCTACTTGATCCCTGTTAGTGATCAGTGATGGTAACTCAAAGAGTGCCACCAGGCTGGGTTTGCTCCAGCACTGCTGATTCTTCCTGTTGTTAACTCTGAAGGCTCTCTTTTGTAAGGAGGAATGGAAAGTTTTAAGGAAGATTTCAAAATTTAGTTGCAAATGACAAACTTGTGTTTCAAACAAAGGGGAAAAAAAATTGTTGAGACCATAGCACAGAACTTTTCCATTGTGAAATGAAGCTGTGGTTTAGGAGCAACTCGCTGCCCCTCTTTTCTTTACAAAGCTGCAGCACTGAAGGGGCTTGTAGAATGTCAAGTGCAACTGTCACACACTAGAGACTCACACACTGTTTTTCCACTGTAGCTTCATGTTTCCAGTTCAGTGGCCAATACTGCCCTCGTTTCGGGGTACTCGCAGTGTAAACATCACATACCTTAAAATACCATATGCAAACCACAAACACCCCTGTGCCCTCATCTCTCCAT